CCAGCCCCGCCCCCTGGTGGGCTGAGCTGGCCACACACACCTCTCTCTCTCTCTCTCTCTCTCTCTCTCTCTCTCTCTCAAATAAATAAAAAAAAATTAAAAAATAAATAAAAAAATAAAAAAATAAACAGTTTTTTAAGGAAAAAGATGTGATTTCATACTGGTATTTCCAATTTGAATTTAAGATTATAGTGTTTTTATTTATATGATTTTTATTTTTAGTTTCTTTTCTGCTACTAGGGATTGAAGCTAGGGCCTTGCACATCTATGCAAGTACTATAATGCTGAGCTTCATCCCCAACATTGTTGTAATGCTACTTTGTATCAGGGTTTCCTTAATTGCCCAGGCTGGCTTTGAATTCCAATCTTCCTGCCTCAGCTGGGATTTTAAGTGTCAGCCACTACACCCAGCCTATGCACATGACTTTATTTTATATCTCTTTGCCTTAATGCTAGCAATAGTCTTTCCTAGAAACATTAAAATGATTTATTTGCTCTGTCCTGCTGTATCAGAAGTGCCTAACATTCAGTGATTCCCTAGGAAGACTCACAGCTATTGACTGTCCTGGTGTAAGGATACAAAACAAAGTAAGCAAAGAAAAAGATACATGGAGTAAAGACAAGGAAAACCAGAGAAACCTCCAAGGGCACGCTTGATTGGAGGCTTGATTGGAGTCACGTGGCAGTGTGACAGATTGTGTAACATGTTTTCTAGCTGGGGAGTTTATTGCAGACTCAGTACTCAAGGGACTGGTCACATAAGCTTTTTCTGCTTATATGTATCCAGAATGCAGATTTCCAGAAGAAGCAGGTGTTCAGTATAAGCTATATTGTCTTCTCAATGATTTGGGCACAGTGAGCCACTCTGTATCAGTTCTGGGAATGGTGGGAACTTCCTAGTTCACAGTTGCCACTGAAGGACCAGTCTTCCACTAGGCTTTATTGAATATAACAGTCCTTTTAATGTTAACTCTATTCTTCTCACCGATCAGCTTGCTAACTGTAGTTTTAAAATAGTTGTGTTGTATTTACTACTAAAAATTTACCCTTTCTTTTTGGTTCTTTATCTTTAGACTCTAACCCTGTAGCCAGGCATAGTTTCATGCCTGTAATCCCAGGACTTGAGGGGCTGAGACAGTAGGATCATATTTGTGGCCAGCCTGAACCACATAAGGGAGTCACAGTCAGAATGCTGTTTTTAGTAAGGTTTTCTCTGTATAGGTATACTCCTGCAGTGGCATATAGTTAGTTTAGTTTGCTTCAGTTTGTTTTTAGTTTCTAAGGTTTTTTTTTCTTTTTGATTTAATTTTTTAAAAATTACATCAAACATTTTATATATAACATTTTCACAAGTGAAACTATATAATGAGGTCCATTTGTAGATGTATCCTATAATCTCATTAGCTTCTACCATATTTCATTCTTTCTCCCACATAGAGCCATTTTTATTAGTGTGATTTATCTTTATTATTTTGATTTGTTGTTTTTTAAAACAAATATATGTGTGTTGTATATATTCATATATATTCATATTCTCTTCTTTAACACGTAAAAGAATACTTTTCAACATAGTTTGGGATCTTCCTTTTATTACTTAACAATATGTACTATATCTTAGAAACTGGTTTTTTTTGATGGTACCAGGGATTGAACTCAGGACCTTGTGCTTGGCCAAGTAAGCGCTTATTCTACTGAGCTATCTCCCCAGCCTGTATTATATCTTAGAGATCCCTATCTTGGAGATCACCATGGTCTGGAGGTCCTGCTTGCATGGAGAAGAAGAAGACAGGATTACTGATGCTGTGAGGAACCTCTGAGAAGGAGCAAGCATGGGGTGAAGGTAGGGGAAAAAACATGGCCAGTTTAGTTTAAGCAAATTCAGTGTCTCCAGGTGGTTCTGTCAAGGGAACAGGTAGATTTTCAGAGTTCATTGGGAGGAGGCTTTGGTCTGAGTGTTGACCAACATTTGCGAGTTAGGAGATGTCCCTGGAGCCAGGTGAAGGAATGAATTGTCCCAGGAGAGAATACAGAATGAATGAGAAGTAGCCCAGCAGTGATCCTAGAGAGGGCTCCAGCATTTAGGGGGCAACCTGGGGAGAGTGAGCCACCTCAAGGGATGGGAAGATGGGTGTGGACAGGCTCATGGTTTTGGCTGAATTTGTCCATCTCATTGTGGTTTTTTGGGAAGGAGGTCACTATTGGAGTTATTCCACACACAGTTGTATTGTACTTTGAGAAAATAGTACCTGTGCTCTTGGGCTCTGTTCTCACAGGAGGATTTTTTTTTTTTTTTTTGATGGGCTCAGGATACCTTCAGGGCAGGTCTGGTTTGGCTTGAGGATCTGGGGCTCTAACTACAGCATCCTGAGCCTGACTGTTTTGTTTAAGCAGGCACTTAAACAACTGAACTAATGAGTAGTCCCCCATGTTCTCACAGACATGGCATGCTAGTGGCTATTATAAATAGCTAACATTTCTTTTGTCACACACAGGGTGCTGAGGAAGCCTTCTGTAGGCCCCTAGGGAGGAAAGCCATAATTCTTCCTGTTTTCTAGGCAGAGATGGAGAGTTAAAGGCATGGCTATGGCGAGAGCAGGGAAGTTGCTCACCTCATGTTCTTTTGAAGTAAATGGCAGAGGCCTGGGCCAGTCCAGCCAGTCCAGCATACTTGAAGCAGCAGTATGCAGTGGGTTAAGGTCTGTTGACAAAGGGCTCAAAAATATGCCTCTATACCTCACCCTACTGACATTGAGAGGCTGATTTGGGACTTTATTATTTATGTATTTATTTGCAGTCCCGGGGATTGAA